AATTAATTAATAATGTGTTCGTCGAATTAATAAATCGTTATTACGAGATAATGGCCGTTCCTGGCTTCTGTACAAGAAGGCCAAATACATCTTTGTTTAAATAAATATATATAACAATTACATCTTTTTCTACAATATAATTATGTGTTTATGTATTCTGTGATTTCTGAGAAGGGGTGAATGCTCATCATCATCATGGCGGAAGGAAGAGGTAACGTGGTCTTGTTCACCACCACCACTTGCTTACCAGCTGTCCTGGGTTTTTACCAAAAACTAATCTCTCCCTCCGGCCATTCTTCTTCCTTTGTGCCCCTTTCTCCAATTAAAAGCCCCCTCAGAGAGTCGCGTGCTGTGTCAATACTCAGAGCGTGTCTGGAAAGTCAGCGGCGTCGGGCCAAACCATTGGGAACGAGACTGGGGGGGATCACTGGCACAAACAATATATTGTTCCATGTTAAAAACGTACTATAGTGACAATAAATACATTGCAGAGATTGTATGAAGACTTAATGGCGGTTTAAGTAAATATAAGTATAAATTAGTTACAAAAAGTACTTTTAGAAAAAACTAATTAAGCTCATCCCCCTTTAACGAAAAGGTTGAGTTGTCTGAAACAGATGTCCCAAGCTCCTCTCACATCGGAGCAGAGAAAGTCAGAAGAAGTCCTGCCGCCTCAGAAAGGATGCTGTAGAGGAGCAGATATCACACTACAAGGTATGTACACAAGGATTTCTGTACAACATGATATAAAGGGGATCCACCTTACAGGGAAGGAGCGGCAACAGCAGTGCAACCGGTATTCATTAGTGTGTGAGATTTTGTTATAAATCAGTAAACTTATAGAGATATTAGCTTAACTGAATTATCTATTGCGGGTATTATATCACATACAAATAGAAATACTTTCACATGCCATTATAATAAGTGTTGTGTAAAGTAACTAAGTACTAAATTTACTCACTACTCAACTTCGACAACACTTTAGTTCAGAGGGAAATATTGTACTTTTTACTTTACTACATGTGTTTAACAGTTACTGTTGCTAGACACAAGATCAACATTTAACATTCACAATGCAAATAAACTGATGCATTTACTTGTGATACTTTACATTTTGTTGATATTTCTGTACGTTTACATTTTAAAAGCAGGACTTGTAATGGTATATTTTCATAGTGTGGTATTACCATTTTTATTTAGTAAAACAATCTAATTGTTTTTTCCACCAGTGCTCTTCATCTTCCAAAAAAATACTTATAAATAAAGGTATGTGTATACAAAGAGTTAATACCACTCAGCAATTATGATGAATGAATACAAAACAGCTGTGTTGGAAGACTGCGTTGAGTCTCTGCAGTTTAATCACTTGCTGTGCATTGTTCCTACATTATGAACAGGTTGCTTTCACTGTAGGGCTTTTGTGGGGCAACATGCTGGTCGGTGGGATTTGTTTGTGTCTGCGGCAGCAGAATAAACAAAATCTCCTATAGTCCACGTGTTGACAGACGTGCAGTGCTGCTGCGGGTGCTAAACACAACACCTCTATGTTGTTATGCCCCTGGAGTCCCCCCTGTTCTTTTGTCAATGGTGGGTACTTGTGGGTGAAAAGCTGTAACCACATCCTGCCAATGGCATGGGATGACCATCAGTGTCCATTCAGAGGCCTCAGAAATGATGACTCAGAGGGACAAGGTGTCATGATCCCTGGCCAGCCCTTCAGCCTCTGGAGAACAATGGAGCATCTCTTCTTGCCCTCTGTATTTACGCTGTCGCTGGGCTGTGAAGCGGCTGGTGTGTCTGGCCAGCATATGGCCTCCAGTGACTGCGAGCAGGCCGATGTGGTGCTTATTACCCCTGCATTGTCTCTGCTGACAAAACTAAGACCCCTGCACTTCTTAATGGTGTTGACCTGACAAAGGAAAAGAGGCTGACAGTGAAGAGAGCCTCATACAGACTGCTCATAACCTTTTTTTGCTATCACACAGCCTCTTGTTTGCATTCTGTTGCAGACCGTGGAGTTTCCACACTCAGCACTGCTTCTTAAGACAAAGATCTGACTCCAGTGACGCGCTTTGTAATACAACACTTCATTTCTTTCCTGCTGCTGCTGCTGCTGCTGCTCCCCCACATTGATGCACTTCTCTTCCAGCAGCCCGTATTGTGTACAGAGTGGATCCATTTTGCTGAATGGATTTTGGCTTTTCATCAGACTCTGAAATAAGGCATGCTGTAAAGTCGTTTGGTTTCTTCCATAGTATCAGCACTCAGTGGCGAATCTTAATTACAGGGTTCGAAACGGGCCTCGGTCTGGTTTCAGGCATCCCTCACTGTTTCCTCGGTGAAGCTGGTCCCCATTGGTAATTCCAGGGCCGACCACAGTGGTAATGAGCACGGTGGTGGTGGCGGCATTCCAGGAGATCGCTGCTCCAAAGGCTCATGGGAAAGGGTGGTGGGGGAAGTCTGGGAGACAGTGAATCCACATCATGATCTCTTGCCATAAACACCCACTTCCGTAGATGTTGCACCGTCACGGTCTGGCGAGCAGCGAGGATGGGTGGGATGATCAGCTCCCATCCCTGACGTGGTCCTAGATAGTCGTAATTAGCGGTGATCACACATGCCGCAATTAAGATGTTATGACTACATCAATCAAGTCTCCCGGGTAGCTATCATGACCTATCCCTTCAGGAAATGGACTGCTATGCCTGTTGGACTCCATCAAGAACAGTATTGTTTTCTGGTTCTCCCTAGAAGTATCATTTCAACACTCCCACGACTCCAGGCTTTTATGAAAGCTATGACAAATGGCATAAATGTCTTGGCAATAAGCTGCAACGTCTAGTGAGATCTGCTGTTTTACCCGAACTCACCCACCCACCCACCCACTCACTCAGCTTAGAC